CTTTGGAGTGCCGCCATGCCACGCCATCGGAGGGCGTGCGGCGATGGCCCCGGTGCCAGTTAGGTGCAGCAGCGGTAGCGTCGGTTCGGGGTTGCGATGCCTGCTGCTGGTCGTGCTGGCCCTCCGTGCCGGCCCCGTGCTCAGCGGCGCCCGTGGCGTGAGGGCCACCAGCGGCCCCCTCTCCGCCTCCTACCTCGGGCACAGCGCCTCCACCGTGAATGCGACCCATCGACTTGGACTTACGAGGCGTGCGGGGCTGCTCCTGCTGCTGGTGGTGGTGGTGGTGATGCTGACCTGCTGCGGGAGGCTCAGAGTCGTTGATGGTCACGGCAGCTCCTCCGCCGTCGCCTGCGGCTCCTCCTGCGCTGCCGTTCACCTGGCTCTTTGTGGCTTGGGGCGGCGGCTGCGGAAGAAAGAGGGCGTCAGGCTCGGGGTTTCGGGACGGGGGACAAAGCGCTCACTCGCACGCACTCTCGCGCCCACCTGCCGCCGGAGCAAGGCAGGGGGCGCCGCGGTAGCTAAGGTCAGGCCAGACAGTTTGACAAGGGAACTGGCTTTGCAAAGTGATCAATAAGTTTAGATGTTTGCATTTCTCTTCCTTTTTTCATTAACCATCACTTACTTCTACATGCTAGTACTGCATTTGCAAAGTAGGCATATAATTCACACAGTTACTGCCTAGTTCCAACAAACAACTCCGCAAGCATGAGATTATGTAAAAAATAGTAGAGAGAGAACAAAATGTTATAGACTGCCCAGACTTCAGATATCTAGGCCTAACGGCAGTCAGGAAAATCAATTCTTTTTTCTGGTGACAAGGATCCAAATTCAAAGCGTCAATATTCAAAAAATTATATTTTATATATCAAAATGAAAAACTAGACTAGAATCAATATATACATGTTATACCTATATATGTATATCTATGTGTATCTATATATAAATATATTTATATATATATATATATATGTATATTTATATATAAGTATATATACACACATTTATATAAAAGTATATATATATAGTATATATATATATATATATATATATATATATATTATATATTGTATATATATATATATATATATATATATATATATATATATATATATATATATTGCAAAGATATATAAAGAAGTAAAGTCAGCCCCAATCTGAGTGTAATGGGAAATAACTGTTTACTGTGTAACACGAACCTGAGCTGAGAGAAGCAGACACTGGTCGTCGCTTGTGTCACACGGCAAGTATTATTAATCTACCTAATTATCATTTCGGAACTGGCTGTATGAGGGCGGTGTCAGGTTAGCTCTTGAAAGTATACAGGAAGAAAGAATGAACAAAGAATGGACTAGAATAACATGACATGGTGGAACTATTCTCGACAAGGATCTCATCTTCAGTGGAAGAAAAAGGAGCAGCTGCTTAAATAACACTTACTCTAGCGTACATACGTCCCTGACTGGCGACGTCACATCCACGAGTTTGGTTTCTATCCAACACCAACGCTTTAAGACCCGTGCTGCAACTGCCTTCTACTGGCAAAGGTACGTGGGAGATCTTGGTACCTTGGTACTTCGATCAGACATTCAGTTAGGAACCTAATCATGGCTATTACAACTTTACAGGGAAAATTAGTGAAATGGGGTTTAGGATTGCGAGGTGCTAGTTAACTAGTAATGTTACAAAAAAATCGAATATTTTTGTACAATACCAAGGGACTGCGAACTTGTCTCACTGGTCCTGCCTCATAAGTGGATGCTTGGGATCATACACATACCATAAAACTACAAAAGAGAACTTTGTATGATGGACTCGTGATATCTCTGATGTAGGCCAAGCAACTCGCTACAATCTATTACAGAATTTTGATCTACTTACATAATCTATCTTGGACACCGCATGTACGTCATACCGTACACCCTGGAATGGCGCTAGTCATAAAACTACATAAATGGCTATTATAATAATCAGTCTACTAGATGACTACTTTACAAAGGGTCACCCTGAAGGCTCTTACGGTCACCCATCTGTTAACTCCCTTGAGAGAGCAGACTCTTGTGGGGCAAGCACGAAATCTCTCACCTAGAAGTGTCCTGCATCTTGCAGAAGACTTCTCCCTAGGGAGACTTTGCAATGCAGGTCTATCCCCAAACTTTCTCTTTTGTCTGTCTGGACCTTGTCCTCTTTGTAGAGTCTGGTCCCCTCAAGGTCTGCCTCTCAAGGGAACCTCTGACCCTCCGAGCATTAGGATAGTGGCCCTGCTCCAACGTGAAAGAGAGAGGGAGAGAGAGAAAAGAGGCCAGTGTGCCACCCGTGCTCTCCCAACACTACCTTGTTCTACGCCACACTAGCCAAGCTGAGGAGGACGGTTGTGTTCATCTTTAGGGGGATAAGTCATTACCTTTTCCGCCTCGAGGAGCGGTGCTGCCTCAGGGCCCCTGGCGGAGGGTGGCCTCCTAACCCAGGCAAACTGGGTCTTGTACTCAGACACAAGAAAACTATCATCATCAATGTCTCTGCCTAGGGGCCCCTCGGAACGACTTCGGTGCGACGGTCGGAGGAATCGACGGCTGCGTTCTTCCGACTGTAAGGAAAGGTGAGCTGAGGCCCCGGCAACCTGACACACGCACACGCACACTGACCAAATACACTGACTACATAGATAATTGGTGGCAGCAGTGGGATCCGTGCAGCAGCTGGTGTTAAAATCAGAAGATTGAAAAATAAAACAAAATGGTGTCAGATAGTTAGCCCGGAAGTTTAAAGTAACTCAGAAGAATTAAGGAAACCAACTGTAAACCAAAGAATTATCCTTAGAAAATGTTAAAGAAATTGTTAATAAAAGATAAGCATTATCAACATATCAGATTAAACTGTGAAATATTTCTAAAAGAAAATCTACTAAGTAGACCCAAAAATTCACCAAATAAGAATAAAAGAAAAAATAAGAAGGATGCAAAGTCTGAAAATGGTGATAAAGTTAAACATGATAAGTCGGTGTTATGAAAAGTGAAACTATCTAGAAGAGAAATATTAGTAATGCAAATTCTTGCACAACAAAAGAGAGTACACTACTAAAGAGAAAACAAAAGTTGGTGCAGTATTGACAGCTTCAAAATACACGTGTAGATGAATCGGTGAAATATTGGATATATCAGCTGTGGTTGGACAAGAATATATAAAAAAACAGGCAAGAGATTCACTGAAAAATTTGATACCAATAACCTCAAAGGATGTAAAAAAACAAGAACTGATAGAAGAATGAAAAAATAATACATGAGGATAAATGTAGTAAGGAAACGCTAAAACTAGATAGAAATATTCAAAGAGACCAGAATAAATAATAAGCAAATAAATGAATAAAAAAAATGAAAATACATGAAACAAACATGTGGTGAATGTGGGGGAAATGTGTCTCAATACAGAAGACAAGTGTAGGAGCATACATACGCATCACACAATGAACTTGATCATAGACGACTTACACACACATGCATAGAAGTTTTGTGTATAGGCCTACTCTCTCTCTCTCTCTCTCTCTCTCTCTCTCTCTGTGTGTGTGTGTGTGTGTGTGTGTGTGTGTGTGTGTGTGTGTGTGTGTGTGTGTGTGTGTGTGTGTGTGTGTGTGTGTGTGAAAAAGAGAAACAATGTGTGAAAAAGAGAGAGAATGTGTGTGTGTGTGCGTGTGAAAAAGAGAGAATGTATGTGTGTGTGTGTGTGAAAAGAGAAAGAGAGAATGTGAAAAAGAGAGAGAGCGAATGTGTGTGTGTGAAACCCAGGGTGGCCAAGTGTGATCAGAAAAGCAAAGTGAGGTTGCAGATGAAAAATAAATTGAAATCAATCATATGAAGGTCAACAGCTGTTGCAAAGTGGAATGATGTGCTACTTCTACGTGTTAAATCGTACATGAAATGGTAGGATGTGTGACAGGCCGGAATAGAGGACAAGGAAAGACAAAGGAATATTATCAGAATCAAAACTATACCCATACACTCACAAAGACACAAGCAAACACATGTCCATGCACACACACACAGCACATACAAGCACACTAACACCCATACCGTATTACACTGCCCTTGTACTCTACTACACTCACTCCACTCTCTCTCTCTCTCTCTCTCTCTCTCTCTCTCTCTCTCTCTCTCTCTCTCTCTCTCTCTCTCTCTCTCTCTCTCTCTCTCTCTCTCTCGTATATTCCACAGCCCAACACGATTTATTCAACCATAACATTTTGCCAACATGGGATACTGCTGCCACCAGTTAACTAGCTGGCAAAACTCACAGTAGAATAAACGTCGTCCACACCGAGAAAGTTTTAGATTATAGACCATATTTAGGTACCAACCAGTGATAAAATTCTGAGACATTTGGGAGGAATGAGACTATTTGAAATAAAACTGGGTTACATTATTGTAGTTTCACTTTTTTTTCTATTTTCTTTACTGTTAAGCTGTGCAACAATATGAATGGCAAGTTTACATTAGTGTTGATGATATACACTAAATATGATCTAGTGGAACTTTTAAAAATTTCTTATGATTGGTTATCTAACATGTATCAATTACTTCAGTATTTCAGAAAGTGAATATCATTAGTAAAACTGCAGATTTCAATATTTCATGTAAAGATATATACATATATGAAAGAAGCTTGCAAAAGTTTTTCTCTCCAAGTATATATAAATCTATGTATATAGTATAAAATATCTCAAGACACAAAAACTACATATTGCTGCCAGATATGTATGCAGTAAGTAAATAATGATTCACTCAAATACAGACTGGAATCAGCTTCCTTCAAATTCTCCCAAAGAAAGAACATGTTGTTGAATCAGCAAGAGTGAACACTGAAACAAAGGGGGGGGAGGGGCTGGGGAGGGGGGACTTCTCACAGGACTAGAGTTTAAAAGAATAAAAACCTCGAGGTCTTATAATCCAGTGTGCTTGGTGAGTCCTTGAGGTTCAAGATCCAAGAAGACGGAGGTGTCATATTAAAAAAATATATATATGAATATAAACATAAAAATGAAAAATAAATTTAAAAAAACATGGTACAGACAACACTAACATCTCAGGGTCCCACATCTCTCAGGTTATCACTTCAAGAGGGTGACATGAGCGCATGCTGTCACTGTAGAAGGAAATGAGAAAAAGAAAAAAAAAAACTGGCGTGACAAGCTTTCGGTGACAGGCAGCCAATAAAAGAGAAGAGACGCAGAAGCCATTGCAGAAATCGGCCATACTTCCCGCTTTCTGTTGTGATTCCATATGGAAAGAAAAAATGGTAATATTTTGCGAAAACTGTCACTAAAGAAAATGGTACTACAATATTTCTACAACTGTCACCAAGGGAAACAGTATTCCAATATTGTTAATACCGTCGCTAATGAAAACGGCTTTACGATATTGCTAAAGCCATCATCATAGAAAATGGCATAAAAATATCACTAAACCTATCAAAGAAAACGGTATAACAAGAACCCTCCCCCACTTAAGAATAATTTCCTAGACCTGGATAACTTTTAGTCGAAGGGAAGTTCAACCTTTTCTTAGGTTTTCTCAAGACCGATGGTTCTGGTTAGCTTCAGGTCATGCACGTCCGAGCAGCGTGCATGGTCACGGCGAAGCGTCCGGTGCATGGAAGGTCAGGGTTGTTAAGCGCGCGGTTCATTGTGATATCATTTGTCATAAAAAATCAAGAAAAATCATCTAAATTCTATCTCAAAACAAAATCGAATTACTATCACTAAACGCAGGGTTGTTAATCATTGTTGAATTATCATTAAAAAGTAGTCAAGAAAAATTATTTGAATTCTATTTCAAAACAAAATCAAATTACCATCACTAAACTCAGTGGTCATTGAATTTACTTCTGATACACTTTGTATCTTCTTTATTATTTATTTTTTATCTTTCTCTATATACCTAGGAGGCGTAACAAGCCAGCGGAGCGGAGCAGGAACACACGCCACGCTCGACTACTTTCGCCGCCACGAAACCAACCTGCCGCTCGACTACTTCCGCCGCCTCAAACAATCCTGCCGCCCGTTCACGCACCGGCGCCGCGCCCACATACCTTGCACGGCCTTTTGCACTTGCGGTTCTATTATTCGGAGCTACGATTGTGCGAATAACATGATAAAAAGAAAACGGCAAGAAGTGGGAGGTGCAAGGAAGTGATAAAAGTTGATTGTCAGAATAAAAAAGAAGAAATAAAAAACACAGCGGTGTGCAGGAGATTGGAAATATCAAGGAAGAGCAAAAAGAAGAAAAAAATATAAGGAAACAGGAAGAAGGGATTTCAAACAATGCCACAACAAAGAAACCATAGACCAAGATAAATATAAGACAAAAATAGATATTCAAATAAAAAAAGGGAAGGAAAAGAGTGAGAAAAAATAATCAATCCCATTCTCAGACAAGTCACACACACGCGCGCGCTAAGGTACGAAACCAAATGAGAGAAGAGGGAGAGTGATGATAAAGACAGGGAGACGAGGCAGAAGCAACCATGCGGCGGAGCGGTCAACGGGGAAGTGTCGACTGCCTTAGCTAGAAGGAGGACAATTCTCTCGTCTTTTTTTCTCTTTTAGTTGTCCCCTTTCTACTCCTGCTTATCCCTTTTTCTCCTTCCTCTCTTCTCCTTGTGCCAATTTCGCGCGTCTTCATTTTTTACAAATTTCCCGGTTATTCTTTTTTTTCTTTATAATCTTTCTGTGTTGCGCCATTTTTATCAACATTCTTTTAGATATTGATACTGACATACAATAAGTGATTTTCTAATCAACATGATATTTTCACAATTCTTATTTCTTCTGTATAAATAAAAATCTCTTGAATATTCATATAAATATAGAAGTAAAAGAGACACACTTACCTTTCTCCCTCAAACGAGAGCGTCGAGCACCCGCGTCCTCCCTCACCATCACCACCATCATCATCACCATCACCACACAGCATGCACAGAACCTGGCACTCACCTCGATGCTGCAGACGAACCTGGGCGGCTTTAGGGTTCACCTGATTATGCAAAGGGGACTTCCGTGGAGGAGGAGGAGGAGGAGGAGGAGGAGGAGGAGGAGGAGGAGGAGGAGGGGAGGAGGGGAGGGAGGGGAGGAGGAGGAGGAGGAGGAGGAGAGGAGGAGAGGAGGAGGGGGGGGAAGGAAGAAGAAGAAAGCAGAAGAAGAAAGAGAAGGAGGAGGAGAGATAGAGGAGGGGGGTAGAAGGCGAAGGGGAAGGAAGAGGAGGAGGAGGAGGAGGAAGTGGAAGTGATGCTGGAGGAGGAAGAGGGCGGGAGGAGGTGGAGAAGAAGAAGAAGAGGAGAAAAAGGAGGAATGGAAGACGAAGGGGGAGGAGGAGGTGGAATTGATGCTGGAGGAGGAAGAGGGCGAGGAGGAGGAGGTGGAGAAGGTGGTGCTGGGGTAAAGGAAGAGATGGAAAAGGAGGAGGACGAGAAGGAGGAGAGGTGGTGCATTAGGAAGGAGGAAGAGAAGAGCAGGAATAAGCAGAGGAGTGCGCCGGACAGGATGACCTTGTGATAACATTGCCCCTTCCCAGGATTCCCTGTATTTCATTTATTGTT